ATGGCATGGTGCTTCTGCCTAGAGCGCTATTTTGCCGGAACCTCTCTCTCTCTTTTTTTTTTTTTGATAAACATAAGCTCCCCTGCCCCCAACGCTTTCTGAAATTCTCCCTAAGGCCCCTTCTCATCCGGCCACCAACTGAGAATCACAGATCTAATTTTATCCCTATTTACAGGTGAAGAGTTTGAGGCCAGAAGAAATTAAAGCAATTTGCGGAGGTTGGTGGAGGAGAGGAGAAGAGGAAGCAAGAAAAGGAAACTAGCATAGAGTGAATACCTATTCTGTTTTAGGCACTTGGCCAAGTGGTTTACATGAACGACTTGATTTATAATTCTCTTATTCTCTTTACGTACTCTTATCTTCATTTTACAAATGAGAAAAGTGAAGCTTAGAGAAGTTAAATAACTTGCTCAAAATCATATAGCTAATAGGTACTAGGTAGAAGATCCACATTGGAGCTCAGGTCTGTTGGCCTGTAGAGCCTATGTTGTTTTAGTATGATATACTGCCTCTCAGAGATGAGAAGGGGTGGGGGGCAGAGAAGAGGTTATTGTTGCTGCTAGTATTATTAACATATGCACTGCCAGACTGTTTTTAGAGCTAAATTTGACAAATATCACTTCACTGAACACCTGTTTTTTATTTTTGTTTTCTCTCTCCCCCACCTCTTGTTGTCCAGCGCTTCGGGCACTGTGTATACTGCAATGGACGTGGCCACAGGACAGGAGGTGAGTATCCACTGTTGCTCCTTTAGTTCTACTGTTTCTTTTTCTTTTTGGTTAATTTTTAGCCCTTTTAGCTCACTAGGGACACTTCTTCTAGTTTCTCATTACATCAGACAGAAAGTAACATGGTAAGACGTACGGATTTTAGAAAAGTCACTGTGGCTACGGTGTGGAGAAGAGATTGGAGGAGGTAAGAGTGGACCAGATGAGTCAGGAGGTTATTGTGTAAGTTCAGGTGAGAAATGATGGTTTGGACTAAGGCGATAGCACACTTATGGATGGAGAAAAGCAGATGAATTTGAGAGATAATAGTTGTTGTTAGCGACTATCTAGTTGGCCCCAAGTCGTGGCGACCCGTGCACAATGGAACAAAATGCTACCTGATCCTGCACTTTCCCTATGATGAGATGCAGATTGGGCTGTTGTGATCTATAAGGTTTTCACTGACTGAGAGATGCTTAGCCAAATACTTAGATTTGATAGGATTTGGTGGTTGACTGAATGTGAGGGTGGCTCACAAGTGAGTGATACTATCCAAGGAGAAAGAAAAATGGTGGAGATACAGGTATAAAAGAAATTGGATATTGCCTGAGAGACTTTCTTTTGGAAGTCCCTAGTGGACAATTGTTTACCCAAGTTTGGTGCTTTGGAGAGAAATCTGATATAGAAATAAAAGATTTAAACCCATGTCTCCTGACTTCCAATCTAGTGATCCTCCATTACCCTCTGCCCAGGATTCCATTAGGCATTGAAGGCCTCATTTATTTGGAGTCAACTCTTTGGCCCTCTCATTTCATTAAGCCAGGAGGACTTTGGCCGTATTGGTTTGGCCTTCTGACCCATGATCTTGTCCTTAATAGAAGGAATCTGTGAAGGGAATATAGAGCACTTTGAGTTTCCTTGCATTTTAATCTCTGATTACAGTGCAGGAATGTTGGCAGGCAGTCTGTGGATGCAGCTGCCTCAGGGTAGTCCTTTGAGTTCAAAGAGTCTCAGAGGTTGAGAGAAGCAACTCCTCTTCCAGTGAAAATAGAATTAGGCTTCTCTGAGAGAAGCTGCTAGGAACCACAACAAACCCCCTGGTATACTGGAGAAGTCATGATTAATAGGGATAGCACATATCTCACCGTGCTCTTGTCTTTTACAAGTGTCTAGTCAAATATTGAGGCTCTACGTAGGGCAAGTCAGCTTTTTTAAAAAATCATCATATGGTTAAGGATTTGTTAATTGTTCTTTGAGGTGGAAATCCAAAGACCTAGATGCTTACTTCTAGGAAGTCATTTGACCTCTCTGAGCCTGAATTTTACTTATAAAATGTACATGATGATACATACTTCACAGAAGTTTTAGAAGAGTACAATAAAGCAACGTATGTGAAAATATTTCATAAACTTTTAGAGTTACGTATTTGTTCACGCATATTTATTCATTGCATAAAGAATTTTCTGAGTGTTTGCTTTATACCACTCCTTATGCTAAGAACTATGTGAAAGATTCAGTCCTATGCAAGCATTCAGGCATTAAAATCATATATACATTTAGATAGAGAGAGAAATAGCTGCTGTCGAGTTAGCTCTGATTCATGGCGATCTTATGTACAGCAGAATGAAATGTTCCCAGGTCCTGCATAACTCTCATAATCCTAGCATGTTTGAGTCCATCCTTGTGGGCACTGTGCCAATTCATCTCACTGAGGGTCTCTCTCACCCTCACTGGCCATCTGCTTCACCAAACATGATGTCCTCCTCCAGCAATTGATCCCTCCTGATGATGTGTCCATAGCAAGCAAGTTAGACAGTGTTATGTTGTGACCCATAAGGTTTTCCATTGGCTAATTTTCAGAAGTAGATCACCAGGCCTTTCTTCCTAGGCAATATAAATGTAAGACCATCATTTCCTTTGTATATATATATATATAGAAGTCTTGCAGTGCTGACAGGAACTTGCCTTAAAGTGAAAATAATGATAAGGAAAGCAAGATGGTATTATGGTGCCAGTTTTACAGGTGGGAAATTGGAGATAGTGATAAAAGAGAGGAGGTTATACCAATCCAAAAAAGAACCTTATGAGGTAGGTAATATTATTTCTTTTTTTTTTTTTTTTAACCAATGAGGAATTTGAGGCTCAAGAAGTTTAAATAACTTTTCTACAAGGTTGTACTACCAGCAATTAGCAGAGACTAGGTTTTAATCTTCTGACTCCTAATCTCATGCTTTCTGGGCTGCAGGGCCACAGCAGAGCTGATCTTAGGCACTAGGGCCCCGTCTTGTCATGTTTCCGGCCTCTTGAACCTGATAGTCCTTGATGGGAGACAGGCTGGTGGTTCCTGGAAGGCCTGGAGGTTGCATATATCAGAAGCTGGCTACAAGAAATGGAAATTTGACTTAACTGTGTGTTTGCCTTGTGGTTACAAAACTATGAATGGAAGTGAGTCCATTAGAGTGGCTAATGCAGTGTGGTCAGGAAGGCCTCATTTCCTGCCCCAGGGAATATAAATCTTCGGTGGGGCTGATAGGATGTTCACAGTCTTTGTGAGCAAGTGCTTATTGGGGTTTATCCCGCTGGGAAGAGGAGAGCTATTGTCTGTCACATGTAGGAAGACTAGCATGTTAATGCTGGTAATTCTTCCAGATACAGATCTAACAATCATTTATCAAGCCTCTTTTTATGGAGAATGTATATAGAAAGAAAATAGGCTTTGCAGTCATATGGACCTGTGGGTTACTCATTGATTAGGACCTTGAGCAATTTATTTATAAATCTTAGCCTCAACTTCTTTATCTAAAAGTGTGTATAATAATTTCTACTTTGCAGAGTTGTTGTTAGGTTTTGCTGAGATAACGTAAGTACGGCATCTAGCACAGTGCCTGGCATATAGTAGGCACTCAGTAAACAGTAGTGGTGGGAGGGTGGTTGGTTTTTGCTGTCATTGCTGTTGCTGCTGTTGTCATTCTTGCTGCTTTGTGCCAGGTGTTCATGAAATGCTGTTATTACTATGATTAGCATTTTCATTATTGTCTTACTTTATTAGTTAAATCTCTTATTTGTGTAGGAGTAACAATTGGCCACTATCTCATTTAGTCCTCAGAGCAACCCTGTGAGCAGGGACATTGGAGTTGGGATTATTATTTTAAATGTATTGATGAAGAGACTGAGGCTCCAAGAGCTTGTGATTGGTCAAGGTCAGTAGGTTAAAAGAGTCGGGCCCAGAGCTTAGGTACTCAGAACTTCAAGTCTAGTTCTTTTTCTTTTACAGGAGTACTGTCTCCTGGTGTGAGTAAGTGGGTGTGATAAACCAAACCCCGTTGGCATCGAGTCGATTCCAACCCTTAGTCACCCTATAGGACAGAGTAGAACTGTCCCATGGGGTTTCTAAGGCCGTAATCTTTACAGAAGTAGACTACCATATCTTTCTTCTGCGGAGCAGTTGGTAGGTTTGAACTGCCAACGCTGAGCATGTAACCACTGCACCACCAGGGCTCCTTGGAGTGTGATAGGTGAAGGACATTTAGCCTGGCCCATAGTCAGTCAGTAGCTATTGAAAAGAATTCCCAGTGTCCTGCTACAGCCTTCATGTAAGAGCTCTGCCTGCCTGCCTTTTTTATTCGCCTTTGCTGCTGCTGGCAGTGACCACTGTGAGCTCCATAGACACTGCCCCACCCTCCAGGAGGGCCTGCCTGAGGAACCCCAAAGGCACTCCTCTGGTCCCAGCCCTTAATGTGTGTTTTAAGGGTTTCCTATGTCTGTAGATCAACCTGTTGCTTTTCAGACATTAGAAAAAGCTAACACTCAGCTGTTGTAGAAAGCTGCAGCCAGGCCAAAAGCCTGACCTGATTGGAGACCCAACTCCAAAGCAATTTTTTTCTCACCTGTGGTAGGGAATGGAGGTGGCCAGAATCTTTAAAAAAAAATCATTTCTATTCTTAATGATTAACTGAGTCTCTGCATAAGACTGCCCATACTTGAAGAGATAATAGAGTTAGGGGTTTTTTCCCATAAAAATTAGAATTATTCATCCTTTACACTTCTTGCTGATTCTGGAAAGACCTAATTTAGTTTACACTCGACTGCTAACCGAGTGGTCAGTGGTTCAAACCCACGAGCCGATCTATGGGAGAAAAATGTGGCAGTCTCCTTCCGTAAAGATTTACAGCCTTGGAAACTCTGTAGGGCAGTTCTACTCTGTCCTGTAGGGACACTATGAGTCAGAATCGACTTGATGGCAATGGGTTTTTTTTTTTTTTTTTTTTGAATTATTAGATGTTCATGTTCTAGGGAAAATATGTCTAGGAAATGAACATTTAGCAAATAATTTAAAATCTCTTGTGGGAGAGAGCAGCTTATTGCTGATGCTTTTTGTGCTTTAAAAACAAAGTACTTACCAACCCATGGAATTCTCTTTCCGTCCTTCCTTGCCACAAACAGTTGTTAAGCACCAACTGTGTGTGAGGCCCTGTGCTCGCTACCAGAGCTTTCAGAAGAACTCTCAAGCATATGTGTGTATGTGTATATATGTGTACAACACACACACACCCCTAACTAATCACCATACAAGGTAGCCTTAATAAGAGAGGTATAAACAGAATCTTACAGGATTTTAAAGAAGAGAAAAAGGCATATCTGATAGGGAGAGTGGGGTTTCCTTTGGCCTGATATAAAGCGTAAGTAGCTTTTGAACATATGGAAATGGCATGACATGTTCCACGTGGAGAGAAGATCTTGAACGACGTCGGGGAGACTAGGTTGTAGGGAGAGCAACGAGTGTATGCAGGAATACAGTGGTAAGTAAGGTAGAGGTCAGAGCATAAGAATTTTTCACGTCAGACTGAGGAGTTTCTGTAGGCAACCAAAAGCCATTTATATTTTTGAACAGGGGTGTCATGGATGGAATTGTGTCCCCCCAAAAATGTGTGTATCAACTTGGCTAGGTCATGATTCCCAGCATTGTATGATTGTGTAATCTGATGTGATTTCCTTACGTGTTGTAAACTCTATCACTATGATGAGGTTATACTGATGAGGTATACAAGATTGGATAGTATCTTAATCCAATCTCTTTTGAGATATAAAAGAGAGAAGCGAACAGAGACACATGGGAACCTCATACCACCCAGAAAGCAGTGCTGGGAGCAGAGTGGGTCCTTTGGACCTGAGGTTCCTGTGCAGAGAATCTCCCAGACCAAGAGAAGACTGTTGTATCACAAGGACCTTCCTCCAGAGCCAACAGAGAGAGAGCCTCCTCCTGGAGCTGATGCCCTGAATTTGGACTTGTAGCTGACTGGACTGTGAGAGAATAAACTTCTCTTTGTTAAAGCCATCCACTCCTGGTATTTCTGTTAGAGCAGCACTAGATGACTAAGACGGAATTTGGTACCAGGATTAGGGTGCTGCTCTAACAGATACCTAAAATGTGGATGCAGTTTTGAAATTGTGAATGTATAGAGGAGCGGCAGCAGCAGAGGCCCTGCAGCAGCAGAGAAGCGGCAGTGGCAGAGAACCAACAGCAGCAGATCCAGGAGTCCAGTGTGAGATGGCGCTGGAGCTGACCCACGGAGCTCGAGAGAGCTGAGTGCCTATGTGCAGGAGGCTTCCTGGTGGAGTGGGGTGCCTCCGGGCACTTATCAGTGGAGCTACCGAGCTTTGGAACACTTGCCCCAGCAAGGCAAATGCGGGCATGAGGCCCAAGGGCCAAGAGGCCACAGGAAGCAGAAGCTGAAGAGACAAGGAACAAAAGAAGCCGAGCTGCCTCCGTCTCAAAAGGTATGGCCATGACCTCAGGGGTTCCAAAGGGTGAGCCATGGCCTCTGGTGTTTCTAAGGGTGGAGTTGTCACTCCGATGGACTAGGAGAATAGTGCAGCTAAAGCTGAGGGAGCAGAGTTGCCGTCCCAGTGGGCCTGGAAGGCAGAGCTGAAGCCTAGGGCCGAAGGGCCTCCACTCAGAATCCGGAGACTGTGGCCAATACCTAGAGTATGGAGGGCAGGACTATTGTGTAAATTGCCTCAGAGAACAGAAGATTATTTTCAAAGCCTTGAGGGCTAATGTAATAATGTGTTCTGCTGACTTGTTGGTGCCTGTTATCCCTTCTGCCCCAGTTTCTCCCATTTGTAATGGAAATGTCTAGCTTGTGCCTGTTATGCCGTTGTACCTTTGGAAGCCGATAACTTGTATTCTAGATTTCACAGATGAAGAGGAATTTTTGGATTTTGGACTTGGAGTTAAGACTTATGCTGTGATGTGATGAGATGAACATGTTTTGCATGTTGCAAGGATGTGATTTTTGGGGGGCCAATGGGTAGAATGTCCTGGATTGAACTGTGTCCCCCCAGAAATGTGTGTATCAGCTTGGCTAGGTCATGATTCCCAGCATTATATGATTGTGTAATCTGATGTGATTTCTTTACGTGTTGTAAACTCTATCACTATGATGAGGTTATACTGATGAGGTATGCAAGATTGAATAGTATCTTAATCTAATCTCTTTTGAGATATAAAAGAGAGAAGCAGACAGAGACACATGGGAACCTCATACCACCCAGAAAGCAGTGCTGGGAGCAGAGTGGGTCCTTTGGACCTGAGGTTCCTGCTTGGAGAAGCTCCTAGACCAAGAGAAGACTGGTGCATCACAAGGACCTTCCTCCAGAGCCAACAGAGAGAAAGCCTTCTCCTGGAACTGATGCCCTGAATTTGGACTTGTAGCTGACTGGACTGTGAGAGAATAAACTTCTCTTGTTAAAGCCATCCACTTGTGGTATTTCTGTTAGTGCAGCACTAGATGACTAAGACAAGGGAAGAGTGCGATCAAATATGTATGGTAAGGAAGATCAGTCTGGCCACTGTTTAATAGCTCTGTATTTAAGTCACATATCTTTTCTGAATCACAATTTCCTCATCTGCTGAGAGAGGTTAAATAGTAGTGCTTAACTCATAGTGTGTCTGTGAGGATTAAATAACAAATTTGAGAACGGTTTACATAGCACCTAACACATAAAAATGGATACAAAAGTGCCTTGGAAACTAAAATATACCTTATATTTGGTAAAGTATTTTGATTGCTTTCGGAAACTTGTTTAATTTGCTGTAGACAAAAGAGTCCATCAAGATCTTCATACATAAACATTAGGGATCTCTTCCCCTTTTTTCTTCTCCCCTTAACCTGGTCAACTGTAATTTATCTTTCCACACCAAGTTCAAAAAGTCACCTTCATCTCTCTGAAACCTCCCTAAATTGCCAGCTTAACAGAGTTCATGCACTGTATTGTGTTTCTGTAGCATTTTCTATGAACTTGTGTTATAGCACCTCTTTTATATTGTGATATTTAAAAAGTATTTTTCTACGTCAAGGTTTGATTTAAAAATTTAGTGTGCATCAGAATCACCTGGAGTGCTTATTAAAACACAGAGTTTCTGATTCAGTAGGTTTGGGGTGGGACCTGAGAATTTTCATTTTCAACAAGTTCTGGAATAATGTTGATGATCTTATTTTGAGAACCACTGATCTACACTGATAAATTGTGAATTTCTCAAGGAAGGACTAAGACAGTATCTTACTCATCTTCGTTTCCCTAGTGCTTAAGGTCTGGTAGTTAGTGGTGCTCAGTAAATGTTGAATGACTCTGGTTGCACATCATCTGTTCTCTGACTTCAGGTGGCCATTAAGCAGATGAATCTTCAGCAGCAGCCGAAGAAAGAGCTGATTATTAATGAGATCCTGGTCATGAGGGAAAACAAGAACCCAAACATTGTGAACTATTTGGACAGGTATGGCATGTGGGTCTTGTCAGAGGGATAGGGCCTTTGGGACTAGTGGGTGGTAGAGCTATTAGAGGAGAGGGCAATACCAGCACTCAGAATAGCCTCCATTTAAGAATCTTCTGTGATTCTGAGCTCTCTGCCTCTGACCTTGCATACTGCTGGACTTGTCTGATTGCTGGAAGATCCTTCACAGCTAGTCCTAATACTGTTTGTTTTTCTGCCTCAAGGAAGTATTTCAGCCCATCTGCCTGAGTCTAAAATCTAGGTTTTCAAATTGTTCTTCATCCCAAATCTTTCCTTATTCTGTTCACCTTCCTGAGTAATTCCTAGTTTGTTTGTATGCTCTTAAAATATGATGCTTGGTATTAGATGCTTCATTTGAGATCTGACCAGTATGGGGAGAGTGGGACTCCACCTTTATTCTAAATTTAACACAAAATAATGATTTATTTCATTTTTTTTAGCAAGCCTGTTTTCTTGTTGTCTCCTTGTAAGTTTGTGGTCAGCTAAAATCGCTGATTATTTTTTACATAAGCTTGTATTAAACAAGAACTGTAGAACTTTTTAGTTATCTTCATTAAATCTTATCTTTATTATTTCAGTCTATTATTCTAGCCCACAGAATTCACTTGTTCACGATAGTAGTAGTGGTTGTAGCTAACATTTGTGTTGTGCTTTACTGTATACCCAGAACTTTATGAACAGTATATCATTAGGAGGTAGGGCTTATTATCTGTATGTTACACATGAGGAAACTAAGGTTCATAGAAGTTAATAAATTGCCCAAGATCACTAATCCAGTAAGTAGCAAATCAAGGTTTTGAACTTGAATATTTCTCTTACCAAAATCTATGTTCTTTCTATTGTATCGTGTTCTTTTTAAAAAAAGAAAAAATTTAAACTTCTTGCATAGGTTTCAGAGATATCACAAGTGGGTGGTATTGGACCAAGTCTTTGACTTTAAATTCCTTTTCTATTTGTACTGCACTACCAGCTACCTCTCCCTCTAAATCGTTGGAAAATTACATAAGTGTGTTTTCTTGTTCTGCACCTAAAACATTGATAAGCTTCAATTTCTTTAAAGAGGAAAGGAGTTGGATATTGATACTGATAGCTGTAGAGAGCAAAGCCTTCTCCTTTTTGGAGATAGTGGTGTCTCCTTGATGTGGGTCTTGACTAGCTCTGAAGATTTCCTCTGAAAGTTGTTTATCACCTCTCTATCTGTTTTAAGACCTTATTATACAGAGAATATAACTTGGACAAATTGCTGAAGGCTATGGGGTAGCAGATTTTGGCTTGGGATAAAGAAGAATGAAAGTTATCCAGTAAGGGTATGGCCTGTCTCGTAAAACAGTGAGTTCCTCATCTCTGGAGATATCTAAGCAGTAAAATAGAGGACCATGTTGTTGAAGGAATTTGAGTGCTGGTAGTGGAATTAGAAGACTTACAGATTTGATGATGCCTTTACGTATGTTTCCAGAGACTATAGTATGGAATCAGAAGTAAATAAGGCCCAGTCTGCCCTCAAATAGCTCCTGGTCTGGTGGAGACCTCTGTGGGAACAGAGAAGAGGGTGCCCTTAACCTGAGCATTCAGCGAAGTCATTGCAGATGAGGGTGTATGGTTTTGTGTGATGTTCCAGAGAAGAACTCCATCCATATTTGTTCTTCTCCAAATATGTGATAATGCTCTGGGGCTCTGCTTCTGAACTGTGAGTTTTGAAGGTGTCTTGGTACAGTGACTAGCCACAAAGTGTTTGAGAAAACCTTAATTTGGTCTTGCATTGTCTTAGCTTTGACATGCCAGGTCCAGGAAGGGAGACTGTGCTTTGTCAACGCCCAGTGAAAGTTACTTGGACCCCCATATTTCTTCTCCCAACAAGTACGAATTCATAGGTGTTTCCTCAGTGTGCTAGGTGGGAGGCCATAACCGTGCATCCTTTTGTCAGGGAGGGTGTAGGCTTGTGCTAGTGGAGAGCTTTTTACCCAGTCCTGAATTCTCTCTTGGTCCAAGTCCACATAGTCTTCTCCTCAAAACAGATTCTTGAAGAAAGATTTAATCTGTGTCATGGTTTGAATTATGTCCCCCCAAAAAATGTGTGTATCATTTTGGCTAAGGCCATGATTCCTGGTACTATGTGATTTTCCTGTATGTTGTAAACCTGTCTCTATGATGTTAATGAGGGAGGCTGGGTGGCAGTTGTGTTAGTAAGGCAGGACCTGATCTACAAGACTGGATTGTGTCCTGAGGCAATCTCTTGAGATATAAAAGGCAGAAGTGAGCAGTGAGACAGGGGGACCTCATACCATCAAGAAAGTAGTGCCAGGAGCAGAGTGCATCCTTTGGACCAGGGTCACTGCGCGGAGAAGCTGCTAGTCTGGGGGAACACCAAAGAGAAGAAGGCCAACAGAGAGAAAAAGCCTTCCTCTGTAGCTGACGCCCTGAATTCGGACTTTTAGCCTACTTTGACTGTGAGGAAGTAAACTTCTCTTTGTTAAAACCATCCACTTGTGGTATTTCTGTTATGGCAGCACTAGATGACTAAGACAATCTGTCAGGCTTATTCATCATGGAAAATAAAAAAAATTACAATACTTAATTGCAAAGATATCAGAGTCTTATGGAAAGCACACTAGATTAATAGTGAAGAAAACAATTAAAATTTTACCCTTTACCTGAGACCATTTGTTAAAACCTTTCAACAGTCTCCCCATCTGCCCAGCAGTAGCCATAATATCAGAATGTTGATAAGATGACATACCAAATACTCAAGCCAAGAAATTTTTTTTTTCCAATCTAGCTGCTTTGTCCAAGGTTAGCAGAAGAGTTTATAGGGCCCTGAGCTACCCTCATTTTTATTTGTCCTATTCTACAGTTGAGGAAACATTGATCAGACAGGCTCTGTGACCTTTTATTTATCATATAACAGGGTTGAATGATCCAACCTCTCAGTGAACCTAGGGGTTCTAACTCATATTGGTCCCATAATCTATCCAGGGATACATTACTAAATGGTAGCCCTTGACATATCTGCAGCCCTTGATGAATTCATTCCATTTCTAGAAACAGTGACACTCAAAGTGGAGCTCATTGTCAGCATAATGATATGTGTATAATACTTTACAGTTTTTAAAGGGCTTTTATAACTTTTTAAAATTTAATATTTATAATTATCTTTACTCATTCATTTATTCAGTAAATATTGGCATCTGCTGTGTCAGATTCTGGGATAGAGTCTTGAACAAGACTCAGTACTTGCTCTCATGGATCTCAGATCTAGTAGCACTCCCAGGGAAGTTTAGTAACACTGCCTAATGTTGGTAACATGGGCTCTAAATCCCAAGTCCTTTTGACCAAAGCGTCTTTGTCAAATATTTGGGTGCTCTCTACTTGGATAAGTCGGAATCGACTCAATGGCAGTGGGCTACTTGGATGTTTTCAGAGGTGTGAGGATCATGCCTCTTGACAAAGCAACCTATTTTATTTCCAGTCTTTCTAATTTTAGAAAGTTTTTTTTTTGTGTGTGTTGTAATGAGCTGTAATTTTTTTGTTATCGTCAACCTAGTGATCTTAGTTCTGCCTTTTGAGGCTTCACAGAATACGACTGCTTTGTTTTCTCCAGAAGAAATCCTTCAGTGTTTTAAACTCAGTGATCTGTCCCCCAGATTCTGCTTTTCTCTAGGCTAAAGAGCCCTAGACTCTTCCAGAGCTGACTGAGTGAGACACAGGTTCACTCTGTGCCTATGCTTAGCCTTTGAAACCCAAGCAATGTCTCAATGTACTCTGATTATTCCTTCTCTCCCTTTATCTGTACTCTTGCAGTTACCTCGTGGGAGATGAGCTATGGGTTGTCATGGAATACTTGGCTGGAGGCTCTCTGACAGATGTAGTAACAGAAACCTGCATGGATGAAGGCCAGATTGCAGCTGTGTGCCGTGAGGTAAGGCCAAGGGTCAAGCAGCCTCAAACAGGAAGTAGACTCCATATCCATGTCCCTTAAATTCCCATATCTGATGGGATCTTAGCCTGGGCACTGGAAGTGGGAGAAATTTGTGACTCTTTCATCTTCTCTTTTTATACCTGTGTTTTGTAATTTCTATCATCATGATATTTTTCTTTAATGATAACTTTATTCTGATTATAAAATTTGTACCCATTGAAAAAAAATTAGAACCAAAAAGTATTATAAAAAAATCGTTCATAAAATGTTCTACATTCTACTTTGGTGAGTAGCATCTGGGGTTTTAAAAGCCTGTGAGCAGTCATCCAAGATTCTCCACTGGTCTCACCCCTTTGGGAGCAAGGGAGAATGTAGAAGACTAAAGATACAAGGGAAAGATTAGTCCAAAGGACTAACGAACCACAACTACTATGGCCTCCACCAGACCGAGTCCAGTACAACTAGATGGTGCCTGGCTACCACCACTGACTGCTCTGACAGAGATCCCGGACAGAGCTGGAGAAAAATGTAGAACAAAATTCTAACTCACAAAAAAAGACCAGACTTACTGGTCTGACAGAGACTGCTGAAACCCCAAGAGTGTGGCCCCTAGACACCCTTTTAGCTCAGTAATGAAGTCACTCCTGAGGTTCATCCTTCAGCCAAAGATTAGACAGGCCCATAAAACAAAACGAGACTCAAGGGTCACACCAGCCCAGGGGCAAGGACTAGAAGGCAGATGGGGACAGGAAAGGTAGTAATAGAGAACCCAAGGTTGAGAAGGGAGAGTGTTGACATGTCGTGGGGTTGGTAACCAATGTCACAAAACAATATGTGTACTAATTGTTTGATGAGAAACTAGTTTGTTCTGTAAACCTTCATCTAAAGTACAATTTAAAAAATCATAATTTCAACCTTTAAAGATAACTGCTGTGAATATTTTGTAGTATTTTCCTTTATCTCTTTCCTATGGAGATATATATATATATATATATAAAATATTTTATTGTGTTGTAGGTGAAAGTTTACATAGCAAATTAGGTTCCCATTTAACAATGTTTGAACACATTGTTCCGTGACATTGATTACAATTTTTGCAATGTGTCAGCATTCTCATTATTTCCATTCTGTTTGTTCTGTTGCCATGATCTAGCTTCTCTGCCCCTCCTTGCCTTTTCATCTTTGCTTTTGGGTAAATGTTGGCCATTTGGTCTCATGTAGTTGATTGTTTAAGGGAACACATTCCTCATGGGTGACTGTGTTTTATTTTATAAGCCAATCTCTTATTTGCCTGAAAGGAGACCTCTGAGAGTGGCTTCAGTTCCAAGTTCCAAGGGTATCTTAGGGCAGTAGTCTCAGGGTTCCTCTAGTCTCTGTCAGTCCAGTAAGTCTGGTCTTTTTTAGAAATTTGAGTTTTGTTCCACCTTTTTTTCCCATTCTATCTGGGACCTTCTGTTGTGTCCCTGGTCAGAACAATTGGTAGTGGTAGCCGGGTACCATCTAGTTCTTCTGGTCTTAGGCTAGAAGAGGTTGTGTTTCATGTGGGCTTTTAGTGCTGGGGACTAGTTTCTTCTCTGAGTCTTTGGTTTCCTCCATTCTTTTCGGCTCCAGACAGGAAGAGACCAATAATTGTATCTTAGATGGCTGCATGAAAGCTTTTAAGATCCAGATGCTACTGACCAAACTAGGATGTAGAACATTATTTTTATGAACTATGTTACGCCAATTAACTGAGTTGTCCTGTGAGGCTATGGTCCCAAGACCTTTGACCCAGTAAACCAACTCCACGGGTGTTTGTATATGTCTAGGAAATCTCCATAGCTGTGCCCCCATGTGCTTTGTTATATGTATGAATATGTATGTAGCACACCCAAACATGTATATACTTATGCCTACAAATATACCTATATATGCATGCGAATGTACTCATATATACCTTCATATACACATATAGCACACATAAATACCTTTGTAACCACACACATATTTTTTGATTATTACTCTTTTTGCAAAAATGTATATGTTATAACATTTACCGTAATTGTCCTTTATTCTTGTGTACCTCTCAGTGTCTTCATTTACCTTGGTAAGTTGTGCTGACTTCTCCCATATTGTGTATTGGCTTTCCCATAACCAGAAATAACAGATGTCTACTATCTAGCAAGTGGTTCCCTTTCCTTCCCTCCATTCCTGGTAACCATCAAAAGACATTGCTTTCTGTGTATATACCTATTCTTGACTTTTTATAAAAATGAGACTATACAATGTTTGTCCTTTTGTAATTGACTTATTTCACTCAGCATAATATCCTCCAGATTCATCCATGTTATAAGATGTTTCACAGACTTACCATTATTCTTTATAGTTGCTTCATATATATTTTTAATCATATTTTTATTCTGCACTTGTGTTTTATGTGCTATGAAGAAAATAAACAAGAGTAAGAAGATAGTGACATAGGAGGTACTGTACTGTTATGCAAATAATGCACGCTTTCTACGTTTGTTTGCCAGCTGAGCCCCTTATATTTTCATAAGTGCCACTATGCTAATTTTTTCACATATTGCTGTAAAAAATCAGCATAGTGAACATATGAAAATACCTGGGTGGGGGGCATTGGCAAACAAACGTAGAAAGTGTGCTTTATTTGTGTAAAAGTGCAATACTATTATAGACAGGTTAGTCAGGGAAGGTCTCACCATAGATTTGAGTGATCTGAAGAACTGAATGATGTGAAAAAGCAAGCCAAGCAAAAATCTAGGGTAAAATATTTCTAAGCAAAAAAAATAGAAAACAAACTTAAATAGCTATCCTCATTTCTCCTCATTGCTATTTAATGTCTAGAGTCTGTAATATGCTGATGTATGTGTGAGAAAAAAACACCATAAGGGCTCCATGAGAAGCAGTATCCTCAGTGGATAGCTAGGTTTTCATTACAGCAAGAACATGAAGGGAATATTCAGAGCAGTTGAGGATATTGAGTGTTTTGCTGATGAGAAACTAGGATTTCCCAATGACCCAATAATAGAAAAGTTAGGAATTAGGAGAAGAGTAGAAAATTAGGTGAGGTTCAGAGTTTCATGAGGGTAAGTATAATAGAGTGGGAGGGGTTTGATGATCTAAGATCTAGAGCCATACAGATGAAATTATGTAGTTGTATATTTAATCAATGTTAGGAAAAATAAGACCCTGTGAAATCAATACTGCCCTAGAAAGTATGGTCAAGTTTACATTAACAACCTTGGGATGTAGAGAGCACACAAGCAGGTTAATGGAATTAACACAGGACTGGAATTTTTAGGAGATCTGACTTATTTTCTTTGCCCTACCAGTAATACAATGTTTCTCAACCTTTTTTAATTATCACCCCTCTAAGAAATCTTATTAGACATTCTCTTCCTTATCACTCTTTCCACATGAAGTTTATTCTAAATTTAGCCACGGATATGTTCTTAGAAAGTAAAGTATTAAGTTAGAATTTTCCTATTGGTTTGCATCTTTTCAGTGTTTTATAGTTGGTAAAAGTTTCTAACCATTGGATTTAGTTGAAAATCTGAGATTCAATCATCCGATCCCCATATTTTACAGATAGGAAAAGAGTAGCCTAGGGAGAGTAAGTGATTTGTCCAGAATGATAATGGTTAGTCAGGTAGTGATAGAACTAAGCATTTTAATTGTATCATTCTGTCTCCTTGTTACTCATTCTGCCTGCTAAGTATAGGTGTTTTCCAAGGTTCTTTTATTTAACCTCCTCTGTTTTTTATCAGTTTCAACCATTACTATAACTTAAAAAAAAAAAATCCACCTCTTACCAAATGACTTGTAAATATTTATCTCAGGTTCAGACCTCTGTATAGAACTTAAGATGTGTTCCGTTGCCTACTGGACATTTGTCCGTCAGTGTTCTATAAAACCAAAAACCAAACCCATTGCTGTTGAGTTGATTCCGACTCATAGTGACCCTATAGGTATGTCAAATTCAACATATCCAGAACAGTCCAAAATATCTCCTCACCAAAATAAGATTATCCCCCTAACTTCACTGCTTCTAATAATATCACTTCCGTATGACTCTTATTTGTCCTTGTCCTCTAGTTCTCTCATTACAAAATCCTTTCCATTCTTCTTCACTAGTTTTTCTTGGACTTCAGGTTTTTCTTCTTCTTTTTTTTTTTAATCAAGGATCTAATGTTCTATAAAACACTAAAGTAAATACGTTAGAGGGACATCATAATGAGAAAGACAGCATGGAGCATTATGAGAATGTTTAGTCAGGAGACTTGGTTCTAGACTTAGCTCTGCCACTGATTTGGGGCAAGTCCTTTAACTCATTGGGGCCTCACTTTATCTTAAAATGAGGTTAGATTAGTTGATTTTCTATAATTCTTCTGTATTAAATGTCTTTTCTTTCTCCCTCTGCCCACATCATTTCAATAGTGCCTGCAGGCCCTGGAGTTTCTGCATTCAAACCAGGTCATTCACAGAGACATCAAGAGTGACAACATCCTATTGGGAATGGATGGCTCTGTCAAGCTAAGTGAGTAGAAGTCTTTGGAGTGATAATACTTCTTTTTCCTGTGGGACCCTGTCCCCTGTGCGATGGAAATCATATAATAGTAGCCAGAAGACTCATCAATGGGTCTTTATTTCCTGGGATATGTGGATTCTTTATATCCCTCTCTCATAGAATGTACTTTCATTTCTTTTTTATTCCTTTATACTTTCAGACAAAAATAATTTGCTGAATGCCTAGTATGTGCTAAGTGCTGTTATGAGCACTGAGGGTACATGTTGCCTGCCATTGAGGAGTTCTCAGTCTAGAATAGGAGACATGAAATAGATAATTCAAAAAAAGAGTTTAGTGTACATAATTCCTTTCATTCAGTCATTATTCAGCAAACTTTTATTGAATGTCTAGTATATGCCAGGCCTCTTGGGAATACAAAGATGAGTAAGAAGACATAGTTCTTGCTATCAAAGACCTCATAACTTAAACATATATATATAATAGCAATATAATGTAAATGAACTGTAGGAAGAACATTTTATTCAAAGGTATAAGGACCAGTAGTCCAGACAAACAGGCTGTGTCACAGGTGGATGGGCAGCTTGTAGAAGGACTGTTAGCAGCCTCTGACCACAAGGTACAGGTTGAGGAACTGATAAAGTAAGGCCTTGCCTATCATAGGTGATTAGGATTTAAGCCAGGGACTCATGCCTAGGGAATAAGGCAAGGACCTGGTTACCAGATTGAGACATGGGAATGACTTTTCAAGAACAAAACAGAATTGGACCAAGTGATCAAGGCCAAAATGGGCAGCTTGGACTTTGATGCCTAGTCCTTCTAGTTTGAGGACAAGTGGGAGGACAAAGATGTTGTTTCTTATATTCCTCCTGCTACTCTTCAGAGTTGGACAAGGGACAAGCTAGGAGCTAGACCTGTAGATGGAAGTCAAGTGATTCCAGCTTTGAAGAGATCAGGGATTGCAGTGGCTGGGGGCCAGGCAGAGCTTGACACCTAGAGGTAGGCACACAGTTAACACTTACTAAGGAGTATCCTGAATGTAAATCCTTTCCTTCTTTTATTTTCCTTCCCTAGCTGATTTTGGATTCTGTGCCCAGATCACCCCAGAGCAGAGCAAACGGAGCACCATGGTGGGAACCCCATACTGGATGGCACCAGAGGTTGTGACGCGAAAGGCCTATGGGCCCAAGGTTGACATCTGGTCCTTGGGCATCATGGCTATTGAAATGATTGAAGGGGAGCCCCCATACCTCAATGAAAACCCTCTGAGAGTGAGTGTTACTGATCCCATTTCAAGATGTCTAGGTTGTCTCTAGTCCCAGGAAATGGTACTCAGGCATGTTCATTATGAGTTTCCAGATAAAACTAGGCACAAGTACTGTGAAAAAATGCAGAGTACAGGGGTTAAGAGAGTTATAGGAGGGGGGAGAGGTATGCTATTTTATATGGGTACAGAGGGAATCCTCTCTTTTAGGTTATTTGAGTAAAAACTTGAAGAAGTAAAGGAGCAAGCCATGAGATTAATCTGGGACAGGAGCTTTCCAGGTATGAAGAATACAAAGGACTTGATTTGAGAACATGCTTCTTGTGTTCTCGGGAACACCACGGAGACCAATGTCCCTGAAGTGAGTGAGGAGTAAGGAGAATGGTAGACAGGTCAGAGAACTAGCAGGGGACCAGATCAGGTAAGACTTGTGAGGACTTGGCTTTTATTCTGCTGGAGATGGGAAGCCACTGGAGGGTTTTGAGCTGAGGAGTAATGTGATCTGATTTATGTTTTAAATGGATCATTTGGGCTGCTTTTATGGAGAAAGACTATTGTAATAGTTCAGGTAAGAGTGGTAGCTTGGACTAGATAGGTAGGAGTGGAAGTGAGAAGTGGTTGGACACAGGAAATATCTTGGAAGTACAGCTGACAAAATGAATTGGTATCAGAAAAAGAGGAATCAACAATGAATACAAGATTTTGGGCCTGAATTACTGAAAAAAATTGATTTACCATTTACTGATATGGGGCAAAGCAGGTTAGATGTGATAATAAAGAGCTGTGTTAATTTGAAAAGTTTATTCGACATCCAAGTGGAAATGTTGAGTTTGGGCAAATGTGTCTGCAGTTCAAGGGAAAGAGGTCAGGATTGTAAATATAAATCTATTAATAGATAGTATATAGTTGTTATTTAAAATCAGAACTAGATGAGATCACTCACCTAGGGAGTGAGTGTAGTTAAAGAAGAAATTTGAGTACTGAGCTCTGGTGTACCTCCAATGTTTACAGGTTGGAGAGGTGAAGAACTAGCAAAGTAAACCAGGAAGGAGTGGCCTTCTTAGTAGGATGAGAACTGAGAGAAGTGTGTCCTGGAAGCCAAGTGAACAAAGTATTTCAAGAAGGAGGATTGATCATTATGTTAAATGTAACTGATAGATTGAGACTGAGAAGTGAACATTGGATTTGCCAATGTTGCCTATGTGGAGGTTACTGATGACCTTGATAATCAGTATCAGTAGAACGATGGGGATGTAAGCCTAATTAGAATATATTCACAGGAGTGGGAGAACAGGAAGTGGAGATGGCATATATATAAATATATATATAGAGAGAGAAAGAGAGTTTTGCTGATAAGAGGAACAGAGAAATGGAATAGTATCTTGAAGTGGATATGGGCTCAAAGGAAGGTTTTATTAAAAAGATGATGTTATCACAGCATGTTTATGTGCTGATGATTTAGTGGAGGGAGGTACAAGAGAGAAGGTACAGGAATGAGGTCCTGGAGTAGATGAGAGGGGTTGGATCAAATCCAGGATTGCCTGACACTAAATTTTGTGTTATTAACTGTTACATACATGACCTCCATAGCTAGTAGTGGCTGGCACTTAACGCTTTACCAGGAAATTTTAATTATCTGGACAAGGTCTGGAAACTAACAAGTTTAATCTTTAAGAACTTTTGCCCTTACCTGAAAGTCTCCAGGTAGGTAAGACCCTGGCTTCCTATCTGTGTCACGAACCATCTTTGCTGCACTTTGCCAGAGAAACAGAAGCCCTTGGGTTATTACAGTCAGAATTTGCAGTGACTGTTAGTGGTGGTAAACCTCACTCTGAGGCCTGTGGTCTGCCCAGTGCTGTGGCCATCAAACAGCTGCCCTGTCCAGGAGTGAAGCCTGTTTGGTTAGCTTGGGGTCCTGGGCAGGAGTCAAGGGCTTAAGAAGTTGTACTTTGGCTGATCAGAGGCTCAGGCTTCTGCCTCTCTCTGCCCCACCTTTTTCACCTAACCATTAGGTTCCAGTGATAGCACTTAAGAAATAGTTTTTGGATCTCCTTCTTCCTCTTGGTCCTTCCTGCTGTGCCCTTCTTTAGACCTGTCTTAGTTATATACTGCTACTGTCACAGAAATAGCACAAATGAGTGGCTTTAACAAAAAGAAATTTATTTTCTCAGTTTAGGAGGCTAGAAGTCGGAATTCAGAGCGCCAGCTATAGGGGAAGGCTTTCTTTCTCTGTCGACTCTGGAGGAAGATCCTTGTCTCTTTGAGCTTCTGTTCTTGGGTGATCTTCATGTGGCTGTCTTCCCCTATCTCTGCTTTTCTTGCTTGCTTGTTTTGTCTCTTTTATAGCTCAAAAGAGATTGATTTAAGACACACCCTACACCAATCCTGTATCATTAACATAACAAAGAAAACCCATCCCCAAATGAGATTATAACCACAGATATAGGGGTTAGGATTTACAACACATATTTTTGGGGGACACAATTCAATCCGTAACAGTGATTCTTCATTTTCATTGCCAGGCCTTGTACCTCATTGCCACCAATGGGACCCCAGAGCTTCAGAACCCAGAGAAGCTCTCAGCTATCTTCCGGGACTTTCTGAACCGCTGTCTTGAGATGGATGTGGAGAAGAGAGGTTCTGCTAAAGAGCTGCTACAGGTAACTGTCCCTATGCAGAGAAGCACTTGCCTTCAGAAATCACTCAACCAAGCCTTTTTTCCTTCATTTGCATCTGTAAGGTACTGGTTATTATAGAAGAAGGCTTCTCTGTTACCACATCCTGAACTCACTCGATATTCCCAGTTCTCTAACCTTCTTCATCCCCGTGCTTTTGCTCACCTTTTCTTAGCCTTTTCCTCAACCTATTAAAACTCTATCCATTGTCCTAGATTCAGCCTAAAATCTACTTTCTGAGCTCCTACTGAACTTTGCCACGTTCTGTCTTTAGCACTTCTTTTGTTCTGCCTGAAGTAGTCTGACAGAGTTTGAGTCCTGATGAAAAGAAGCTCTCTGACGCACACATCTTAACACAAGATACATTTTTAGAAAAGCATACCAGGGGATGTACATTTAGAGGACGGTTAGTTTCTTCATCAGAGACTCTCTGAGATGATAGCAATGATATTCTACTTGCCTGAAGTGAGATTCTGCCAAGTTGTTGGGAAGCCCTGAGTGGGGGTTTGCCAAGCCTCTTATGTTCCCACCTTCTTAGTCCTGAAATTATAGCATAATTATTTTATATGGTTGTAAAAACTGCCTTTAGCAGGCCACATCATTTGTATCTAACATTTAAGTTTCAGCTACAATTTCTTACTACATTACTAGTGTCATTTTACTGCATTGCCCACTGGTGATTTAATAATAAGCATCACATGCAGCTTGATGACAGTGATTGGTCTGTAGTCATGCACAGTCAATCTACTCCTGTATTATGAGGCCTGAGCGACTGAGCAAGGCAGGCCAGGTCAGGACCTACCACACTGCCCTGCATTAAAGTTAGTTATGAACGTCTTTGTGTTTCCCACTAGGTTATAACCGTATCTTATTAATCTTGGGTCTCCTCTTGTACCTAGCTAGGACCTGACTTGGAATAGGTACTCAGAAAATAATTGTTGAATTGGATAGAATTGCTTAAAGTATTTGCTTTCATTGGAATGTCATGCTTTGCAACATCTTTCTAATCAGGGTTACTGATTACAGACCTCTGACCTATTAGATATAAGATCTGGATTCTACCAAGTAACCAATTAGTTTCTAGGATCCTTTGGGACTAAAAACTCCTTATAACAGATAGTACAATATATGATCCCTTTGTCTTTCACATAAGGTGTGTTCTGGAAACCCCAGGCATTGGGCAGTGTGCAAATACTATGCCAGGCCTATGATTGGTAAAGATATCGTTCTTAATTAGGTACTGAAATATAGTTTTTGAAGATTAGTGCCCTCTAGAGTTTTATTCCTGATATAATAACATAATAATAATAAATACATTATATTGAATTTTACCACATTCTAGGCACTAAGCACTTTACGTATTTTTTCATCTATTCTGCACAATAGCCCCATGAATTAAAGGTTCTGTTATTCCCATTTTTACAGGTGTGGAAACCGAGGTTTCAGGAGTTTAGTAACCTTCCCATGATTGCATAGCCAGTAAGCAGTGGAGCCATGTCTGTTTGGCTCTTAGTGTGTGAGCTCTTGGCCACTGCTCTTATAGGCTCAAAGAGAGTCAAAACTGGAGGGTCCTCAGGTTTATCTACTTTGTTCATTATACAGAGAAGGAAACTGAGACCTCCCAGTTGGGTGTTGGATCATGCTGCTTTTTTAACTCAGGGGGATTATAGAAACATGTGATCCGAGCAAATTAGCTCTTTAACTTGTTACTGTACATAGTAAGTATTCAAAACCATGACTTTCGGAATCATAAATCATGAAGGTTTCATATCTGTTTTTCCTGAGAGAACATATATATGGACAGAAATATACAAGATAATATATTGGAATTAATATCTTCATGATTTAACCAAGATCTTTTATGTCTTCTATAGTAATAGTAACTTCTTGTTCCCAATAGACGTCATACACTATCGCTGTCCAAAGAGAACTTGAAACAACTTCTGGCAAAGGGTAGGGGGGTGTGTGTGTGTCTATACGCATATATAATATGATTAATAAAAGGGAATTATAAAACTCTAACCAAGGGATGGCAGAAGAATCAAATATGCTAATCATATGAGTTAAACAGTTGTGCTTAAACCAAATTCAGTACTGAGTTTCTTGGTAGCCAGGACAGAAAAGAAAATGTAATAATTCCTATATTTTTTATCAAATGGAAGAAACATCCCACATCCTCAAGAGACAAAGATTTTTCATTACTAAATTCAAGAAAAACTTCCAGATTAAATGCTTTTTTCAACTCTACAGGAAGTTATTATATATCAAGTCTTGGGTTTTTTTTAGCTACATATTTGGACTCTGTAGATTATAATAATCTGTACTGTTTTGTGAAGTCGAGAATTATTCCCAGTGGTTATGAAGGCCTGAGTAGGTGTGATACCTTTTGAAGATGTCCTTTAATGTGGGCATGATCCGAAGCTCTCCAGGTAGCACCTTGTACAAACATGGATGTCCTTAATGTCCTGTAATGGTTGCTGAGGAAGAATGGTAAATGGTCACGTCTTTTGCCCTTTTTCTCCTTTCTAGCATCAGTTCCTGAAGATTGCCAAGCCCCTCTCCAGCCTCACGCCACTGATTGCTGCAGCAAAGGAGGCAACCAAGAACAATCATTAAAGCCATGCACACCCCATCCCCATTGTGCCAAGCCTTCTGTGAAATAAATGCTCATTTCAGAAATTCCAGCCCCAGTGCCCTCTCCTCCTTGCCTTGATCCTCCCATTTTCTGGTCTAGAGCTCTCAAGAATATGATCTTTGGAAACCATGTGCCCAGCATTGAAGAAAACTGCAACTGGGATGACTAATCAGATGACCATTTCTAAATAAGGAATTTCCTTCCAATTTGTGGAGGTGAGGGTGGTTTATGATCAAAGGTTTATATGAATAAACTTGGATTTTTATTTCTACATAGCAAAATCTCCCTCCTCCACTTGCAATCAGTTCTTGACTATATAAATTTATGGCTTGATAACATTATCAGTTTGTAATCAGTTGAGACTTTAGTGCTTGCTTTTCTGTGACCGAACTGCCCAAACACCTCACTGTACTTGAAAACTGGAACAGCTTGAGGAATGCCATGGGGTTTGATAATCTGCCAGGAACATGAAGTGGTTCAGCCTCCTGGACCATGACTTTGGCATAGCTGATCCTGACATGGGAGAGAGAGCTACCATTTTTCTTTGTGTGTGCTTCTAGCAGCTATTTGGGAGGACCTTGACCCAATAGTGTTTCTCATGCTATTTCTTGTGAAATGGTCTTGGCTAATGTAGCAGCTTTTAATTCCCTGCATCTCCGAGGCTGCTGCCCCCATTTTGTACTTGTTTATAACATTGAGAGGTTTCCTAGGGCTGCTGGGTGAGAGCAGTGTGAGAAGTCAGGAAAAAACAAATTGAGCTTCTTTTAGGGCCAGGCTGGGCATCAGCACCTGTCTAGCTATACCTGTATGATGTTTTGAGAACTCAGCCTCTTTTTCCTTCTGGGATGAGGAGCTGAATGATTAGCCCAGATCTTCTGACCTGAATTTTTGGATCAAAGGGAAGGGTCTCCAGATGTGAGATAGCATATTAATTTTGTATGCATTTGGATGATTTTGGCCAAGGCCTGAGATGATAATCTGCAAGCTGTGAGGGGACCGTGTTTGTAAGGTTCATGGCCAAGCTCTCTACAAATGGAAAAGCTTGCACTGGGTGTTGGGGATGTTTGCTACCTCCTACTGTCTTTGTGGTTTTGGTCCTCCCACAGTGGTAGGACCCCTGGCCAGCATTGTGACTTGTCATGTTAGCCCCACTGGCTACCTTGTCATGCTCTGAGGCACAACTGCCTCTGCAGCACGAGTTTCTATTTCCTTCAATAAAAGGAGATGAAAATATTCTACTTGGAGTCTTCCTGTCTTTTCTAATTTTTTATTTTGAACTAATTTCAAACGTAAAAACAATTGTAAGAATGGTACAAAGGATTCCCATATATCCTTCCCCCAGTGTTATGGCTTGAATTTTGTCCCCCCAAAATATGTGTCAGCTTGGTTAGGCCATGATTCCCAATTGTGTGATTGTCCACTATTTGGTCATTTGATGAGATTTCCCTATGTGTTGTAAATCCTATAACTATGATTTAATGAGATGGATTTGTGGCAGTTATATTGATGAGATCTACAAGATTATTATGTAATGAGATGGATTTGTGGCAGTTACATTGATGAGATCTACAAGATTAGATAGTGTCTTAAGCCAGTCTCTTTTGAGATATAAAAGAGAGAAGCGAGCAGAGAGACACAGGGACCTCATACCACCAAGAAAGCAGTGCTGGGAGCAGAGTGTGTCCTTTGGACCTGAGGTTCCTGCGCTGAGATGCTCCCAGACCAAGGGAAGACTGATGCATCACAAGGACCTTCTTCCAGAGCTGACAGAGAGAGAAAGCCTTCCGCTGGAGCTGGGGCCCTGAATCTGGATTTCTAGCCTACTGGACTGTGAGAGAATAAACTTCTGTTTGGTGAAGCCATCCACTTGTGGTATTTCTGTTACAGCAGCACTAGATGACTAAGACACCCAGATATCCTAATTGTTTGTAAATATATATCTATATGTGTCTATACTTTTCCCCCTTCCCTGAACCATTTGAGAGTAAATTGAAGATAGGATGACCCTTTACCACGAATACTTCATTATATATTCTTTCTTCTTCACACTTTATTTTAAACATAAAATAATTAAGAGAAATGGGCCCAAATCATGTTTGTTCTGTTTAAGGAATTATTATAAAGTAAACACACATGTATCTACCACCTAAATCAAGAAATGGAACACTTCCAGTACCCCAGAACCTTCTCTACCTTAGCATGCCCTTTCTCATTACAGCCTTTCTTTCCCCGATTCAAGGTAACCACTATCATGACTTACTAAAATCAGGTTCTTGCTTTTCTTTATACTTTAATTATGTTAGTATGTATTCCAAAACCTATATAGTTTAATTTTGCCAGTTTTGGAACTTTATAATAGAATCATAATAGATATTTTTGTGCCTTTTTTTTTAATTCAAGATTTATGTTCTTAAGATATATGTGTATACTTGTGTGTAGCTCTAGTTCATTCATTATTACTGCTGTATAGCACTTGAAAGGAATATCTTTATCCTGCCTTTGGTGATACTGTACTTCCAGGTCCAGTCACCTTGCCACATGAGCATTGTGCCACTTGTCCTCACCCTTGGGTGTGAATCAATGTAGTCGAACTGCCATGGGACCATGGGGGAGGGAGATTGGTAGTGATGGGCTACTCCTGGGTCCCTGGTAAAGTTATTGTGCTGGATGTGGGTCAGATACTGTAGATACTTCCAGAAGAAGCCCCTCACCAGAAAGAAGGGTACACCTAACATCATGGGAGGCAAGTGGGCGTAGTACATATCAACTATCTTATACTTGGATCTCTCCAGAAGGATTGCCTCCCAGCCCATCCCAAATTTTTTCAGCCATCTCTACTGGCAATGGCTCCTTTGCTAATCTGTCACAATGTTAGATCAGCCATCAGGTGCTAGGTGTAGCAAGGGAGAGCTGGAAGCATTCCAGTCTTTCCTAACGATATTTCCCTACTCCCAAGCTTCCTGTCCTATTAAATTACACTACCCGCTACTTGCCTATGAAACTGACTGTTAACAATGGACTTATGTTCCAAGTCTAGCTTTTCTTCCTTTTGAAATGCACGGGCTTTTTGGTCATTAGAAAGGCTTGGAAACAATCTGACAGGCCTTGGTTACCCTATATTCAAGTCCTGTGCAACTGTGAATGGCCTTGTTGAACTCCACACAATGCTATGTTCACAAATTGGAAGAACAGCCATTGACCAACTGACAGCATAACTCTGTGTGTGTATGTGTACGTGTGTGTAATGGGCCAGCCTGTATGGGTTGGGCTGTGGAGAGAAAGGCAGGCTCCAATTTAAGGAGCTTTAACCCTAGGAATGGGTTTAAAACATGGTCATATTTGCATTTTTTGAGAGATCACTAGCTGCTCTTTGGAAGATAGGTTTTGGGAAAGGTAACTAGAGGCAGGGAGATTCTTTGGGAGTCTATTGCAGTAACTACCTTAATCCTTAACATAGTACTAATAGTACTAAGCTGGTTGGTTTGTACCAACTAAGATGATTAGGGCCTAGTGGGCAATGAAATGACTAAGAAAGTATTATACTGAACAGAATTTGGTGTGTATGTGTGTGTGTTGGGGAGTAGGGGTGTTGCAAAGGAAGGAGAGGGGTCAAGAATGAGGCACTGGTTTCAGCTCTTGCCGTTTACTAATTTGGAGCCACAGGAGATGGAGCAGATTTGAAGGGAAAGATAATAAATTCAGGTTAGGATTTACTGAGTTCGAGGTGTCAGCAGCAGGACATTCAGATACAGAGGACTAGCAGTCACTTGGACATAAGTCCTGCACTCAGGAATGAGGTCAGAGCTGGAAAAATAGCTGGGGGATCAAAAATCAAAGATAAAATAAGCCCATTGCAGGCCTTCAAATGTTTGAAACAGGCTGGGGGGTGGTGGTTGAAAAGGAGCCCTAATGGCACAGTCGCTGGGCTGCTAATCAAAAGGAAGGCAGTTGGAACCCACTAGCCACTCTGCAGAAGAAGGGAGGAAGATGTGGTGGTCTACTCTGGAAACCCTATGGGGCAGTTCTCCTCTGTCCTAGAGGGTCGCTATGAGTCGAAACTGACTCGACAGCAATGGGTTTGGTTTTCTGGGTTTAACCAAACCAAATCAAACCCGCTGCCGCAAAGTCAATTCCATAGCGATCCTCTAGGACAGAGTGGAACTGCCCCATAGTTTCCAAGGAGCGGCTGGTGGATTCGAACTGCTGAACTTTTCGTTAGCAGCCAAGCTGTTAACCACTGCACCACCAGGGCTCCCTTTCTGGGTTTAGGGGGTATAAAAGAGATAAGAAAAAATATCAAAAAATGAGGCAATCTAAGAACTAGACTACAAAATACAGTTAATCCCTGAAACTAAATGATTAACAAGAATTTAACCTAGATATACTTAAGATTATTTTTATAAGAACAAAAACAAGGAGAAAACCCAAAATAACTGTTAATAAAATAATAAAACCAAAATAAAGAGAGCATACCTTTAAAAACATTTGAAACACGTACTCTGAGCTAAACGGATCTGGCCTTGGAAAACGCATCAGTGGCCACGCCCCTGGCCACGCCCACCACACAGTTGACCTCGGGGCGGCTCCTCGTGCCAGGCCTCCATCTTAGAGAAGCGGTGGTCTTCACAAGTGCAAAAGTCTGCGTTTGAGTTTGGGGCAGTGAAGTCAGCGTAAGTAATGTGTCCAGCTCTGTGTTCATCCTTACACATATCCAGAAATAGGAAGTTACGTTAATATTATCACTAGGGTAGCCAAACTTACATTGGCCCAGCCGTCTGGCCCTGGGGCGCTTTTACCCGCTGCTCACTACTTTTCAGGTAAGCCTGGAGTTGCCGTTATCCGTACTCCAGTCAGGTACAGGCAGCACAAAGCTCTGCAGCCCCAGGGAGAGCCTGGCTGGGCAGGCCCAGTGACTTAGCAGGGCGTACAGGGCTACCCTCGGGGGAGAAGGCATTGGTTGCTGCAGGTATGAAGGGTTCGTGTGATTAGGTAAGACCCATCCAGATAATCTAACTTGTGCTGCCTGTTGTTCAATGTCTGAAAATAGTTGTTTCGTGTGTTTTGCTCAGTTTTCAGGTTTTTTTTTTTTAATGGTAGGAGGGATAAATCTGATCCTAGTTTCTCCATCCTAGCAGGCACTCCCTAAGTTTTTTTTTTTTTGGCTTAAACTACTGAGTGAATGGTGGTACCATTTACTGAGATGGGACAGACTTTGGGAGGAATAAGTTTTAGAGGGAAAATCAAAGGTTCAGTTTTGGACATACTAATTTTGAGATGTCTTTGAGAAATCCAAGTGGAGGTTTTGTTAGATTTTGTAGTTTGGTAGTCTGGAAATCAGAGAGGAGGTCTAGAAGAGAAATATAACATGTATTAATCTCCCCCTAAATATTATTGAATTGTCTCTGAACTTGAGTACTCTGGTGGGTGCATAGACCTAAAGATCTGTCCAAAACCAAACCCACCGCCGTCGAGTGGATTCCAACTCTTACAGCGAACCTGTAAGACAGAGTAGAATTATCCCATAGGATTTCTTAGGCTGTAATCTTTACAGAAGCAGACTGCCTTATCTTTCTCCCGGAGGAGTGGCTGGTGGGTTCGAATTGCTGACCTTTTGGTTAGCAGTGGAGCACTTAACCACTGTGCTGGCTTGTGGAAAGTGATGCTGATAATGATTCTGATAGAAATACAGCCTTTCATTCAGCCAACTGGTTTACTATTCTCCTAATTACAGAGCTTTTGTTCACAGTATCTGCCCTTGTACATCCCAGTATTTGCAGCTAGTCACACCAAGTTCTGTATATATGTAGTAGTTTCATCATTAACCAATTCAAATTTTTTTTCTAGTTTCATTGTGACTGTTTTCCTTTGACCTATAGGTTTTTATAAATGTATTTAACTTCCAAATGTTGAATTTTCTAGTTACTTTTTCTTACTGATTTCTGGCCTAATTATAGTGTAGTCAGAAAAGATACACACAAGATTTAGATTATTTGAAGTTTGTTAAAACTAGCTGTGTGGCTCACTATATGATCAATTAAACAAATATTCCATGTCCATTTGAAAAGAGTGTGCATTATGTAGTTTAGTGGAGTGTTCTATAAATGTGAATTAAGACTAGTTTGTTAAGTTATTAAAATTACTATCCTTACAGACTTTTTTTATCTGCTTATTCTATCCTTTATTGAGACAGGCATGCTAAATCTCCCATCACGATTCTGGATTTGTCTCTTTCT